GCTGTGTCGCTGGACTCCCATGTAGTCGACCGCGGTTCAAGTCCCAGACCCGGTGGCTTAAACTCACGGGGCGGAGGTGCGTGCATGTCCAAGATTCTGAGAGGAGACTGGAGGAGAAGGGATTACGGCGTGGCCATCCCCCTTGGGGGGGTGATGTCTCGCTTTCTGTCCCTCTGTCTCTCTCTCTCTGTCTTTCTGGTAAGTGAGCGCATGAGCCCCACAGCAGAAACCTCTCAAATAAAAAAAAAAAGGAGCATCCTCTGGTGAATGGGGTGGGTGGGGACATGGTAAAGGGTCAGTGGAGACCACAGGGAGGGGAGGAAAACCACCCAGGAAGGTCAAGTTTTCACCTCCTTTTCAAAAGCCTCTTCTTTCTTTTCTCTTCCTTTGTTTTGTTTTATTTAAATTTCCTATAAGGCTCAGGCACTCACCTGACTCAGGGCCAGCGGTGGGGAAGTGAGAAAGCACCCCCTAAGGGGGATAGTTACCTGCAGCCGTTTCTTTCCCGTTCTCCTCTGGGGTATTTGGCATGCACAAGTAGTGAGTATTGCACACACATGGACCCGGCGTGGTTTGTAAGCCCCTGGGTCTGTACACACACTTCTCAGTTGGTTGTGGGGGATCCTGCAGCCTTAAACACCATGCTACCAGCGAACTGGCCCTTATACCTTCTTTCTCAATCTTATTTATTTTGATCTTGGGTATTTTGATTTTTCTAGTTTTCCTTCCTCAAATTTGAATATTATAGACGCTTCTATGGCAATTCATCTTCCTCTGTCTACACTTTTGGCCTAGTAATAACACCCTCTTTGGCTAAAGACTCCCTGATACCACAGACAGTTTTTACACTTGGTATTCTTTCTTTTTTTTTCTGGTAGAAGTTTGTACCCTATGGTGTGTGTGCTTGCTGGAGAGAGAGGAGACTGAGAGGGAAAGTGAGAAATCACCCCCCTGGTGGTGGTGGGGGGGGCAATCCCTTCTCCACTCTCCTCTCAGGATTTTAGGCACGCCCGTACACAGCCTTTTATGAGTTTCAAGCCATTAGGTTCAGGACTTGAACCAGTCACCGATCGATATGGGAGTCCAGTGACATAACCGCTATGCCATCTGCTGGTCCCTGCACTTGGGGTGGCTGAAGGGGCAGGTGTGCCCTTGGCCCTGGTGTGCCATGTACCAGCTCAGAGCTGGTGACTCTGGGTGGGTCACCTTCCAGGGTCCCAGGAGTTTGGGCTGTTGAAGCCAACCAGTTTCCTCACATGTAACTGTTGTCCCAAGGCAAAGATGTGTCATGTGGCCACCCTCTTTCTCAGCCTTCCTGGCTTGCCTTGAGGTAACTATTTCATCGCTAAGATCCAGACGCCTGGGGCAGTGAGCCTGGAGGGACAGACCACAAACACAGAAGTCCTGAGGAGGAAAATGCCACCCGCCACAACGCCCAGGAGCTGAAGAGTTTAGCACATAGTCCGCTGGGGGGCTGGGAGGGCTCTCTGGTCCCCTGTCTAAGGCGGCAGGGGAGCGAGGGTGGAGCCCAGTTCCTGATGCTTGCCCTTGCCTAGCAGATCACCAGGTGGTTTATCATCCTTCATTTTTCCAATGGACAGGCAGACAGAGTCAAGTTTCTGGCATGCTTTAAAGTTCTGAGGGCTTTCTCTGCACTCACAAGGGCTTGTTGTCTATTAAGTTCGACAAGAAAGTAAATAAAGAAAAGTGAGTGGAGCTGGAGGCCAAGCCTCACGCAGCTCAGATCAGGCTGGTTCTGCCTTTCACTTCTTGGACTTCTTTAGTTCATACGTTTATGTTTTTCAAAAGAAAAAAATGTTAATTATTAGCTCTTCGTGTGAGGCTCATCTATAGCAATGGAGGAAAAAACAATTTTGTGAGTTGTGGCATATATTTTTATTTTAGTGGAAAAGGTTGTGCCTTATAAATATTTTGGGGGGAATGTTGCAAGGAATTCAAAGGTGACAATGGGGTGAGGAAGTTCTCAATACATTAAAACCTCCTGTCGAGGAAAAAAGACATTCCATGTCTGTGTAATATGTAACATATGGGAGGATGAAGGACGCTTGGGAGAGGAGTGGGTATGCAGTTGTTACAGAGGTGGTGGATGTGGGTGCCTGGTGAGGGCTGCGAGGGCGGGGGTGGGGCTGGGGGGCAGGGAAGTTGGGGTTTAATCTTAAGGGAATTGAGACACGCTTCCCACAGCGGTGTCAGGGGGCATCTCCAGCACTTGGGCCTGTGCTGGCTGATTCACACCCCTATTTCACACATCCACAAACCCAAACCATCTACAAACGGTCCTATATTTACCCAAACTCAGACGCGCGCTAGCGTGCACAAGCTGGCACATGCCTGCCGCGTTCCGGTCGCGTACGCCCTACGACATTTGGTCAGTCCAGCCTAGAGCTAGAACTCCCTTATGGGCCCTCAAGCCCAAATTCCTAGGGAAACTTGAATAGAGGTAGAAAAGCGTTTGATGATAGGGGAAAAAAAAATCTGCTTGCTTGCAGTTCTTGCGATGGCCAGAATGCTACAAGAAACTGTTGCATTCCAGAGCTGGGGAGGGCGAAGGCAGGCAAGGGGAGGAGGCTGTGGCTAAGGGGCCGGAGAACTTGAAAGACGAAATCAGAACTCGGACTGAAAACGCCCCCCGGACTGCGGGGGGCGCTGGCAGGGGGCGGAGGAGGGCCGGGGAAGGGTTAACCCAGGAGCTGAGCGTGCGGCGGGGGCAGGCGGGGGCGGACCCGGGCGGGCGCGGGGCGCTGTCCCTTTAAGGCGGGAGGCGCGGGCCGGCCGAGCGCGGCTGTGATTGGCGCGGCGGGATCACTGGCTCCCCAA